CACTAAGAAAAGTGGTAAAAAAAGTAGTTCGGAGATAATTTAGGAATATATTTGAACTATTTGATTTTTTAATTAAAACCGACATAATTAAGCTACATAATATTTTTAGTTTGTTTACAAAATTTTTAAACTTTTATTTTTATATTGTTACTTAAAATAAGTAGTTGTTTTAGATATTTTTAAAAATCTACTTCTCAAGTAACATTGTAGATATACTATATAGTATATGTTTTTGAATTTGTTAATGTTAAAATAATTTGATGTGTTGAAAATACTATATATCATTTGGTTTAGTAGATATCGATTAACATGTTTGAATTATATTATAAAATTTCCAATAATTCATAGTATCGGTTGATTCTATATTATAAGTCGATAGTGTATAAATGGTACAATCCGAAAAAACAACTTTCGAAATGAAAAAAATGTTCAATGAAATAGTAAATTTCTTGTTCATAGTTTATAGTATGTCTATATTAGAAAGTCGTATATGTATCGGTACATATATAAACCGACGGTAAACAATTAGTAAATTAGTAAATATATTATTTTTGGAAATGTAGATAAGTTTATCACGGATTAGTGTTGTTTGGAAAGTAATTGTTTGGAAATTAGGATAGTGTTAGAAGTTTCTTTAATTATGTTTGGGTATATAATTATATAAAAAGAGTGTTTGGCTAGTAGGATAGTATGAGTAATTATTATAGGATTTTATTTATTTTAAAAAAGTTAAGAAAAAATGAGGTAATGACATCTAATCAAAGATAGCCTTCAATGTTTCTCCTTTAATATATAAAGGATATATTTCAAATAGATTTTTTTAGTCTTTTAAAAAATTTGATATGCGCCGTTCCCGCAATCTTCTAGAGCCCGAGTCTGATGACATACATACCAAATATAGTTTAAAGAAATTGCACTCTAAAATTAGCGCTTATATTTTGTGTAAGTTTCAACTTTTAACCCAGAATAATAGTAATAAAACATGTCATAATTATTTTTTCAAAAAAAAGGCTGACATCAAA